ACTGCACCGATTTAAATGAAATTTGGTATACAGATAGTTTCGACACTGACAAAGGACATAGGCTACTTTTTAATGCAAAGATAGCTATTGTAAGGGGTTGAAAGGGGGAGATAAATCGTTCTATGGAAGTATCGTCATTTTTAAAGCTAGAAGCTTGAATCTTATTTTTTAATTTTTTTACTTTAAAATATGGTATGAATTTTATCCTTAGGGAATGAAATGGAAATTCCTTATTCGTTCTCTATTCCTTGCGAAGTCTCAGGCACAGCTAGTTCTAAATAAATGCGAGCAAATCTATGTTAAAAACATAGTATTGCAAGACGATATTAATTAATTAGTGTTAGATAACATACGACTGATAACAATGTATGAATTATATATTGTTTTTTGAACATCAAAGTCATTTTAGAATTGATATGTCGCGCAGTAGTTATTTAGAGATAAATTGCTTCGCATAAACCGGGTCGTGGGTTTGATTCTCGGCGAATTATTCGTATACCTACTTATGTAAGATTTTGTTTGAGACTATTATAATCTTAAGACTATGATGTACACATGTTGCAGTAAATAAATTGAATTGAATTATATTGAATTGTAACTAACGACCGATTTATGGCGGGAAAAAGCAACTGTAATAGATTTCTATAACTACATTTTTTTAAACTACAATATACAACCTAGTATATTTGATATATACTAAGCTGTGCCCGCGGTTTCACTTGCGTGAAATTTATAGCCTACTATAATAACTACTCGCCCCGGCTTCGCCCGGGTGTACATGTGTCATACATATAAACCTTCCTCTTGAATCATTATAAATGCGAAAGTTTGTAAGTATGGATGTTTGTTACTCTTTCCAGCACGGGGGAAAGGAGATTGTTAGTAATGTGAACTATTGATCCCATTGCTAGCAATGTACCATGTCAGGTCGACCTCCACGCGGTTCCCCCTGGAAACCATCGTGTTAAATTCCTAGTGAATTTGTCGCGATGGGCTAACTGACCTGAGCTCATTCTCATCTTATCATCCTCCACTGGTGCCCCGCCAGCGTAAACCGTTAGCGCAGGCGGGTGAGCCATCCCATTATCATCCGTAAAAAAAAACTCTCCCGCAAAAAGTACTGAACGAATTTGGATGAAACACACATGTGTAGAAGTATAGAACAATGTGAGAAATACAAAGTTTTTAATGCATCCGTGTGAAGCCGGGACGCGTCGGTAGTTGATTTTTTGACTACATTTCTTTATTTTGAATAATCTTAACACTGTATTTTATACACGATTTTATTATTTATCTTTATATATATATATAAATTGCGTGTCACGTTGTTTGTCCGCGATGGACTCCTAAACTACTGAACCGATTGCAAATTTGTTTTGCACGTTGTGTGCAATTTGGTCCAACTAGAAAGATAGGATAGCTTACATCTCAATTTATAGACGCAATATTATAATATTTAACCTTAGTCACAGCAACGTGTGGGTGGGTCTACTAGAATTATATATATTTAACACATTCGAAAACTAATTGTTGTTTTTTTTTATAACACAGGGGACAAACGAGCATGCGGCTCACCTGATAGTAAGTGATTACCGCCGCCCATGAGCACCCGCAACACCAGAGGAATTGCAAGTACGTTGTCGGCCTTTTAAAAAGGAATAAGCTCTTTTCTTGAAGGTTTCAATATCGTATCGGTTCGGAAATACCATTGCTGGAACTTTAACATTGTTGCTCATACTATATTCCGAACACCATAGACCAACATGAATAAAGATACTGATTTGATTATTAATTTGTATTAAACTTGACTTTAATTGATTCGATATTCAAAACTTAAAAATTCGAAATGACACGTGAGTGTCTTCACGTTTCTTATATTCGACATTATATTAAATAATGCAATTTAACTTAAATAAGATTCCATTTTATATTTAAATTTTTATGATTGAAAATACAATAACGCTATATACTTATACATCGTTTGATCCAGTTTATATTCGACATAACTTTTTTTTTTGTTTCGGTTTTTTACGATTCAGGGAAAGGCAAGAGAACTCAGCCCATACAGCCATTATCTTCGGTAGTATTCTCATATTATATTTCCTTCAAATAATTGTCTTCACAGATCTCTTCAAATGTTGATATTACGTACACAAAAATAGATTTGTAAGTTTTTAGATTCTTTAATTAATGATGGAGCGCGGGAATCTCCATGTTAGTTTAAATAATTTAAAAATTTGACAGCATTCGAAATATAAAATTTTAATATTGCAATTTAAATAACGCACGGTACCTATACATCACTGATCCAGATTCGATATTTGAAATAATTCAAACTGGGTAAGTAGTTAACATAAGCCGCGTACACACTTGAACATTAAGTGAATAAAACCGTAATGCATTTAACTTGAACATTTCGAATTCGGAATTCGAATTTGAATTTCGAAGTGGGGCGTCCATGATGAGACGTCCACGCGATGTTGGCTCTTGGTGTGACTAATGAAATCAGTTGTTTGCTTGTAATACAAGACAGGGGTGCCAACTTAAACACATAGCGTCGTACGAATAAATATTAAATTGTATAAAATCTCGTACATTAACTCAATTTGACTCTCTAACCTCGTACAGGATCATATTTAGGACCGATTTTTAGGTTAATATGTACGAGTTTTGAATGTTGTACGAAAGTGAAAATGTATTGTAGGAGAAAATATCGTAAAATAGCTCAATTTGACTCAAGCATCGTCCATAATAGTATTTAGACCGATTGTCATAGGTCAAAATCTCGTACAAACTGGTACACTGTTACAAATTATTTTTTATAACTACTCTAATGCTGTTGTCCGCAGCTGGCCTTTACAGCTTCACCGGGCGATAGGGGGCGAGTGCAGATGACACTCCAAACCAAAGGAAGGACTTACGGAGCGGCTGAAGACCAACTCCCGCCTGACGGAGACGAGTTTACTTCGAACCTTGGCTCAGGCAGTCGTAATTTCGATCCCCGTTTGTATTGTTTGTATTTGACGACCTCGGTGGTCTAGCGGTCAAGCACACCGCTTTACGACCGAGTGTCGCGGGTTCGATTCCTCGCACGGCACAAACATTTGTATCCATGAGTATGATTGTTTGTATCGGTCTGGGTGTATTCTATGTATAATATGTATGTATATACAAAAAAAATATATCTATGTACTTGTATCAGTTATCTAGTACCCATAACACAAGCTCTAGCTAGCTTAACTTGGGTCTAGATGGCGCTGTGTTAATTGTCCTGAGATTATTATTATTATTATTGTAGGCCAAAAATCTTGTATCTGTACGAGAATTTTCATACGGTTGGCACCCCTGATATGATGTCACCAGGGTCAAGCGCACACTGATAACGGATGTGAGAATGTTGTCAACAAATATGGAATTTGTAAAAAGTCACTTACTGTCATCATTGGCACATACATTAGTGTGATCTTTGTATGGAACACTAGTGACGTGCTCCGACTTTATGCGGTTGCAATTTTTTTAAATATTATTCCGCTCTTGGTACTTGAGGATAATGTTCGCGTTGTACTCTTACTAATTGGGAAGCTGTTTTACAGCTTTGAGCATAAACACGGTGATTCTGCTTGTTAACATTTGTTAACTCATGTACTAACTTGTAGTAAGTGTTTTTTAAACACACACAAAATATACATAGAAAACACCCAGACCGATACAAACAACCATACTTATAAATACAAATGTTTGAATCATGCAAGGAATCGAACCCATGACCAAGGAAGCTGTGTGCCACATCAACGGTAATTCTGCTTGTTAACATTTGTTAACTCATGTACTAACTTACTACATCACTGTTTTTTAAACACACACATAATATACACAGAAAACATCCAGACCGATACAAACAACCATACTTATAAATACAAATGTTTGAACCGTGCAAGGAATCGAACCCATGACCATAGGCAGCAAGGAAGCTGTGTGCCACGTCACTAGACTAGCGATAGAACTCATATGCTGTCATTCCGTAGAATTAAGATTTAAGACTCTGTAATTTCACTGTCTTATAAAACAAGCAACTTAGCAGCTGAAATAGCTTGAGACTGAGGTATCCAAGCAGACGGCTGTACAATGATTTCTTTGGTCAAATTTAGAATTAAAAAAAAAAAACTAAATTACTGTAATTCCTCAAAAACTGACATACTTTATTATTAACGAATAGTACATAACTTCAATAAGTTATTTAAGTTATGTAAGAATTCTGGTATAGAGTTCAGTTTCCGCATGTATAATTCATACTTGGCTTGTTTTCTTTACATTTATACTTTCAATGCTTTTATAACACTATTAGTGTGAATCATTCCTTATTACGAAAGTATTAGACATAGACAACCATAGACTACAACATTCAACACGACAAATACTGGCTGGTAAAAAACATAATTAAATTCGATTTGAATTTAGAATAGTACTCACGCAATGACCTTGTAATGGGGCAATCCGAATGCGCTATACAAACTTTGGATATTAGCTACTCATTACGTCACACGTTCTATTTTTAAATAGCGATTAAAAAATGGCTGTCTCTGTAACGAGTATCAAAGAAGCGGTTACAAAGCAGTGTGTTATCAGTTTGTTTAATTTAGTACGTCTCGTATGTGATAGTGAAAATTAAGATGGCGACATGCTTTTGTCGTTTCTAGGGTACCGTCAATGACACTGCAATATTTAACTAGTAGGTAAATATACCAGATTACAAGTATATAACAGTACTACGTTTTAGTATAAATAATCATCATCTGCTTTTTCCTTATCCCATTTATTTGTGATCGGCGTAATATGTTTTTCTCTTCATTCATCCATGTTCGCAGTCATCTCGTTATTCACTCCCTTTCTTACCATATCATCTTTCACACAGTCCATCCGTCTCTTTTCGGTTTATGTATATAGATGACGACCACTTATTAACAAGGAGGTTAGTTTGTTTGCTAAAAAATAACACTCACCCTCATTCATGGCCATATCCATAAGCTGCAGATCCTCGTCATTCAGGATCGACTGCAGGAAGCCGTCTTGGTTGGCCGGTGGCGCCATCTCACTCGAATTCTACACACACATCAATTACCGTTATAATTATATATAATAATACATATCATACATATTCTTTATTGTACAGATAATCTTTACGTAGTATAAAATGAAGTCCATCCGCTATCTGTTCGCTTAGATCTTTTAAACTACGCAACTTATTTTAATGCAGTTTTTAGCAACAGACAGAGTGATTCAATAGGAAGGTCTATAATTCTATATGTATAATATAAATACACTAAAAACATGTATCCCGTATTAGGTGATAAATAAAAGAATTAACGAACTAACCAGGAGAGAAAAAACATTATTAAATTTCTGACTTGATGCTATAAGGCTGGACTTAAGCTAAGTGGTCAGACTTACCTGATAATATATCCCATCATGCTGTTGTGGATGATGAGCAGACTCGACCTTGTAGGCACCTTCCAAAGGAGCCGCGGCCCCTGCTGTTAAAAAAATTAAAATGAAATAAAAAACTCTTTATTGTTTCTTTCAAAGAAAGAAAATAATAATTACATAAATAAAATACCAAATATAAAAAAAAATCGAGATAAAAGATAGTAGTGATACAAAACATTTTCATATTTCTCAATAAAACAAACTGTTAAACAGACTGATTTCTATAACATCAGTATGATTTTTTTGAGGGTTTTGGGTTATTCTCAGGTGTTAAGCACTGCGACCTACATAGATCTATTGTGCTCGTCCGTTTTCAAAGTTCGCTACCTAGACCCGTCAGGGACATGAATTGAAGTATATTCTTAGGAGCGATGGTTTTTATCTCCTCAGGGTATAGTGTATACTTTCCAAAGGAGATTCCTTTATGCATGAGTGGGCTACAACCACATGTGTAGTAGCGTTTCCTCTTCTGTTTGACAAAATCTGCAGATCGTTAAGCTGAGATCTAATTTTGCTATGTGTTTATTGAATTTGAAGTCAGTTTAGTATGGATACTAACTTTTGTTACAATATTAAGTAGAAATAACTATAAATACAATTTACCATAAGCATCTGGATGTTTCTCCGGCACGGGCGGTATCGGCGTGTGATAGTTAGGAGCGTACCCGCTGGCAGCGCCGTGTCCACTGCAAAAATTATAACAGGTTAAATATCATCATTAAAAGAAAGTATTGTACAGGGTGAAAGAAAAAAGGCAGATATTGAATGCTATAGAAAGTAAAAGAGGAAAAATGTTGGGGCACTTGATACGACACGATGAATTTTTGAAACTAATTATTGAGGGAAAGATGCACAGTTACATCAAACAAATTAAAGACAAAATTGGAGTCGTGTCGTATCAAGACTTAAAGAGTATAATGGAATATCGTAGAAAGTGGAAAGAGCTCTACCGACAAGAGCGTTGCTCTTAAGTTTATGAATGAAAAAATAAAAAGAAAGTATCCTTACGACTAATTTTAATGGAAAATTTCGATATATTTGTTTTGTTTATATTTTTATACTTAATCCGCCCCAAGAGGATTAAATCTAGTTACCCAGGTGTTGTTCCCCCGGAGCTGATGCCGGGGTAAAGAGGTTCGCCCCGAGGCCACAATATTCTCGTAGGGAGTGCGGATGACCAGTAATAGTCAGTGTTCCAACATAAATAAATTCAACGGGATGTCTTGGATGACTCACGTAATATTGTATAAATGCAGATGTCAGTCAGATTTTAATCTAATAATAATTTCAGGACAATTCACACAGCGCCATCTAGACCCAAGTTAAGCTAGCTAAAGCTTGTGTTATGGGTACTAGATAACTGATAAATACACAGATATATTTTCTTAAATATGTACATATATATAGAGAACATCTAGACCGATACAAACAATCATACTCATGAATATAAGTGTTTGTGGCGTGCCAGGAATAGAACTCGCGACAATTTGATTTTATATTTTATATCTTCTGTATGTTAGTTTCTTCTTCTTCTTCGTTTCAACGGCAACCAAATACATATATTTAAATATATTTTCCCCAGAACGCCGCGACAACCCTTGCGCACTCCGTCGCATCCCTCAGGTCTCACTTTGTGCAGGATGCTGGGCACAAAGGACAAGCCAACAGGTGTGCCATAGTCTGGGATGGCGCTCCGCAGTCACAAGCCTCCCTTGAAGCGGCACCCCACTTTACCAAGTTGTACCTGCAGCGGCCCATCTGGGTTCGTATGTATGCCCATGTATGTTAGTCTATAAGGTATTTATATATGGACCATTAAGGGGCTAGGAGATCGTCAGTAATAGAAACTGGTAACTCCTATTACTATCATTGTACCATGTTAGGTCGACCTCCACGTGGTTCCCCCTGGAAACCGTCGTTATAAATTCTTTGTGAATTTACACGATCGGCTAACTGGCCTGATCTCATGCTCATCCTATCATCCTCCACTGGTGCCCCGCCAGCGTAAACCGTTAGCGCAGGCGGGTGCACCATTCCATTTTCATCCATAAAAAATATGAGCCATGTAGCCTGAATTAAATAAATAAATTGAACGGTATGTTTTGTATGACTCACGTGATGTTGTGGGGATGCTGGTGGTGGTGATGGTAGTGCTGGTACTGGTCCGGCGGGGGCGGGATCGTCAGCAGCGAAGCCAGGTCCTGCCACCGCTGCTCGACAGACATAGAGCGCATTAGAGACTGGAAAGAATCAAACCAGTTACATTAGAGAGAAGAGAAGAGAGGTGAAGAGATCAAATATATAAAATACAAAATATCTTTTTAGTTACCACAGGATACCGGATAAGTAATATTCCCCTGACTTCACTACAATGGACTATCTGACCTGACCTCATGCTCATCTTATCATCCTCCACTGGTGCCCCGCCAGCGTGTGCCGTTAGCGCAGGCGGGTACACCATACTATTATTAGTAAAAAAAAAAACAAAATTGAAAATATCTTTATTCATGTAGATCTATTAGAGACTCTTATGATATGTCAAATCTACCGTGTCAGTTCGGATTGATTTCGACATGTCTGTTCTGACAAGAAACTCAGCTCGAACATATCGTACATCTGACCATAAAGACTATAAAACTATACTTATAAAAGTACCTACTGCACTATGCTAGCTAACATAACGAGATTTACTGCTTAAGTTGCTATTATGTTGCAAACGAAAATTAACTCTAAAGTTACTATTTTGTTATCCTATACAATTTGTATTGTTTTGGATGAATAAATAAATTAAAAAAAAATCGGTTTCGTGAAACAATTCCTAAAATACTAGCCGTTGTCCGTAAAAACTTTATTAATATTTCACTCTTAAAAATAATAACGCCATACATCTGCTCATAAAAGATTTTATTTACATCTACCCGCTGCTCTTCAGTTTACCCGTGATCGTGGCGGTTGAAACCCTGCCGAAATATGGGGAACTCAATAAAAAATAAAACGTAACACGTTTTATTTTTAATCCCGTGATTTTTACTAATTACACGAATAAATAACGACCGCGTCAAATTTAAAGCAGTACATATAACCTTAAAGATTATTTTTATGATAAGTGAAACTTCATCCCATATTTCATGCCTTCTAAATTTTTAGATAAAATATAGCCTCTGTTCGTAACCGTGATATGTTTGTTGATATAAGATTTTATATGGATTCAGTTTAAATTGTTCGGAAAAAGGTATTGAACATACAGACCAGTCACACGTTCAAATTGATAATAGTAGTACTGATACAGTATATTTTACACTTATATACTTAATTAAGTATTTTTTATTTTCGCACTTACTGTTTCGTTCACGTTTGTCTGTAAAATATAAGTAGGTAGGTAAGTTAACGAAAACAATTTTTTTTCATTTGTACCAATATAATTTGGTATACATAAAACAAATATAGACAAATGATAAATCAAACAATAATATTTTTAAATATATAACTTTGGAAATTATATGTTAACTTAATGATAATAAAAACTTCAAATACTGATAATTATTTATTTCCTTTCGTATATAGATAACATTATTAAATAATTATAATAAATTTATTATACGCTTATTCAAAGTAATATCGTGTGGAAATTAGTTCTGCTATTGCACGCAGTGGCGCTAATAGGTTGGCATAAGTACTAGATTTTAATATAGATGGCGCTAGGGGTATCATCAAATACGAATTAGGAAATTAAATGAAATGTAGTCGCAAATATGACGTGACTGTTTTATCTAGTACTAGCGAGTCGACCCTGCTTCGCATGGATGCATTACAAATCTTTGAATTTCTTGGCTTATTCTATACTATACTCTCTCAAATTAGAATTTAAATGAATCTGTATTATAGTAATCATATACAACATTTATTTGAAAATAATTTCGAGTTTCTTTTCAGTTCTCATCTCGAAATCATTCCGTACTGACGGTAGATTTGACATATCATAAGAGTTTGTAATAAACTTACATGAATAAAGATATTTTGATTGTTTTTATTATAACACGCATGTAATATATATAGGAAACTTCCTCTTGAATCGCTCTAGCTATTGATGAAAATGGAATTAAAATCCGTTGCGTAATGTAAAAGATATGAGCGTCTGTACAGCAGCGGAGACTTTATACTATGTAATGATATGTTAAGTACAAACGGTAAAGACATTAAATAAGTTTAGATTTGTATTGCATTTTAGAGAAAGCTAAGCATAGAGTTCGATCTAATTCGAACAATATTGTCTGTGACAACATTTGATCATAATTTTTGATGGTAGCAGTGAAAAATCGCGGACAACCGCCGAGAATCGTGTATCGACCATAAAACACGGAATCCCGTGCATATTTTACCGTTAAATACGCTTTTATTGTTTGTCAAATTAATATTTGTGGAGGAAAGCCATGTTTACGATTTCGCGGCAATATTCGAAAGCAACTTAGTCTATGGTATTGTGGGCCCATGTTGCATCGTCGTAAATCTGTTTACATTACAAATATTTGTGTTTAATAAAAAGAAAGCATATTTCTGTGTTCCATGGATTTATGTATTTTGGTGTTTGAAACTTTATTTTGGCGGACTCTCTTGTTTACCATAGACTTCACAGGCTATCGATACATAATATTATTTATATTACTAAATTAATTTTTATTTTGTATTTTAATTTCCTGTTTGTTATCTTTACACGTCAAAACAGTTGAACGGATCATAAATTAGCCGTTCAGTAGTCGTGAAAAGGCCTAAAAACTAACTTGAAGGTCCACATATACATCTCTAAAGAGATGTTCAAAATGATCTCATGTTCAAAAATTATTTTGTCTATTCTGACAAATTAGTGCTTTATTACTATGATCTTAGGGGCTGCATTATCCTACTGTGCCCAAGGTCTCTAATAGGTGAAAGACGGCCCAAAATATTCACAAACCTTCGCGTTTATAATTTTAGTAAGGTAATACTGCTAGTATTACCTTACTAAAATTATAAACGCGAAGGTTTGTGAACTACTAAACTGATTTTGATGAAATTTTACAGTAGTATAGCTTATACATCAGAATAACATATAGGTTATAATTAAAACAAAAATTTTGTAAATTGTGCGAAATATAACGATAAATGCCAACTAAGTAAGATACAGACGAAGTTACGCGGGTAAGCTAGTCAAATAAAGACATCGGCAGATGATTCTAATGTTATATTTGCTTAATAATGTTTCAGAATTGAGGAGCACAATTGAAAATCAATTACTATAATGAGCGAAAGGTATCCGAACGAGTTAAATAGAAAACCATGTTTAGTAGGTGAAAGGTGTACTTGTATTATATAAAAAAAATCACAGCACATACTAACTGTTTAGCGTGGCGGTACGTGGATTAATACTATAATTACTTATATGACAAACGTGCCTGCCAAATTTTTATGTTTTATCAACTGTGCCTGCGGTTTTACTCGCGTGAAATTCATAACCTATATGTTATTCTGTTGAGCTATATTACTGTAAAGTTTTATCAAAATCCATTTAGTAGTTTTTGCGTAAATGAGTAACGAATATCCATCTATACTAACAAACTTTCGCGTTTATAATATTTATAAGATACTATGATAGCGTCAAATAAGCATACTATTTTTATAATAAGCATACTAGTTATTGGTAATCAGGTGGGCCACCTGATTACCAACAACCAACAACCGGCTCGTCTACTCAACATTTCGCACGGATACCGAAAACGGGACCATACTGCGTCCCATAGTTTAATTCAGGGATACGGGGACTCGTATTTATAAAAAGGGACGGTTACTTATCTATGGTTACCGTAGCCTATGGACGCCTGAAACACCAGGGGTGACACGTGCGCGTTGCCGTTCTTGAAAAACCCCATGCTGTAGTTTCTCGAGAAAGTCGCATGTACTCATATATAGACAAGATAAACTTCTTACTAGTTTGGATTGAAACTAGTAATTACCCGCGATATCATCTGTCAAGTCAAACATTTCCGTATTTGATCATTTAAAACTATTTTGTAGAGATTAAAACAGTCTATGGTCGCCCCCATAGTACTATAACTTCATGTCAAAGTTCATTATCCTGTTAGCCATTAAAATTTAACAATTATACAGACAGAGAGCAACAAATACACTTTCGCATCCATTCATTAGTAGGAATGGATTACTATAGATATAGATAAAATCTGTATTCCAAATGAGCGGTAGAATAAAATAAATTATAATATGCTTTATTCGAATAGTAATTACTATTCGAATAAAGCAATGACCATAAACAAGAATTAATAAAAAAAAGTTTATTTAAAAAAAAGTCGTAAAATATATACAGTCTAACCAACATCTCTTAGAGAGTAGTAAAAGATGTCACCGTCCATCGCAATCATAGAGTAGTCATAGACAAAAATCGGCCAAATTATAAGCACTTTAATTTTTAATGTAAGTTAGTTACGTTTTTCAAGACAAACACGCACCACTTCTGTTAGTTGTGCAAACACTTGAAATAACCGTTCTACCTTCGGTGAAAAGCAACGGTCAGAATGTTGGCACAACACTTGTAGAGCAACGCACACAGTCAACAAATCTAGGCTATGGTCCCCCGTACGTGTTTGGCCCATTTGTGTACGGCCTATGTTTGAATACTGGCACGCGAGCGGAATGAGAGTGTTCTAAGTTTAAAATTTCGAGTTGTGGAAACAAATATTGATGTTCCATGTTTGAGTGTCGTAAGCGCGCGAAAACAGCTTCCGTTTTAAGTCAGGGTTATGTCAGGAAGTACTCGTACGTGGTTTTCAAACGTCTTTGATAATGGAATAATCTCTGTTAAATATTATTTATATCATTTTTAAACAATACGAAGCTATTAATTCTGGATCAATAATGATAATTGTTATATACAAAACAACAAAGATTTAAATCAATGTAAATTATTATTAAATATCTTAATATATTATGTATAACATAAATTGTAGACAAGAAATCTTAGTTATACCTAACTTTAACGTAGTGATTATTTGCTCAGTACTTTCCATCATATGTGCCGTTAGTTTGTTTGCCGCGTCTAGTAGTTTATAAAAAATAAACACTGCCAATAACCAAAACTAATATTAATAGCAAACATTCTAAATTCAAAAAGAGATCGGTTTGTCTTCACGATGTGCGCGCGTAATAGTTTCGAGTATGTACTTACGTAGTTTTTTAAAGAGTCTTTGACATG